TCGCCATGAATTATGTATATAAACATAAATTCTAGAAGCATTCTTAAAGTATTTCAATGCTGTCTCGATTTTGCTGAGTATTCTTTATCGAATAATGGTTTATTTCAAATGCACAAATATACCGTCAACGCAAAAGTCCTGGACAAATGCAACAAGCAAACGTCATGTGTTATTAAAAATTTTCCTATAAATCTACGATCGTTTCGGCAGCGTTGTAATTTTCACCAACCTAATAATTTTAAAGATGAACATAAATAATCAACATCGCTTTAAATTAGGGAGTATTCTAAAGTTTTTTGGTATTTTATGATTGCTTGAGGTTTCCGATGCTCAAAACACAACAAAAAAGATTCGACTTATCACACAAATTTCATTCATAATTGTTTTTATGTTGGTAGTCAAATTCCGTCGCATGACGTGCGACCAAAGTTATAACGTACAGACTATTTTTTATATTTTCTAGTATTACTTTATAATTTCCTTAATACCCATTTATATTTATTTAATATCTATGTATCATTTGCTTGCGTTTAATTGGTTTTGCTCAATTATCCATCTAAGAGGAACTGCTATTGAACTGAATACATATACCGTACACTATAGGTACTAAGGTGCCCCATGAAAAATACAATTACATTAATTTCGAATGGTTTAGGTCTTAATGTCGTAAAAAAGGTGAAATGTACTTAAGCCAAAAAGTATCAAATTCTATATTTATATAAATTTTTTCAAAGAAAATATCAAACTTGCCATATGAAATATGACAAAAAATAACATTTTTCAAATTGTAACCCTCCACTTTGCTCACAGACGCGTGTTCAGGTTTGAACAAGTATCACTTTCTATTAATTTTTTTAAAAGATTTTATTTAATTAAATAATGTTTTTCAATAATTACTAAGTTGTCCATGCTTTACGGAAAAGAAACGGTTTAAGTTTTTAGTCACCCAAAATTAACTTCTTCCAAAAATTGTTTGTCCGTTTAGACCGAGAAATAATATTCCTTTTTCTTTTTTAAAAAAATATTGAATAATTATTATTAATTTATTTGAAACTAGTGTTATTCTTTTATAAAACAAATCTGTTCATTTCAGTCATAGGCAAGCTCATGGAAAGAGCTGCTTATTATTGAAGCTGAACACGTGTGGGTGGCAAAAATGAAAGGTTAAAATTTAAAAAACGATGGTTTTTCTGAGATTATAAATAGAAAATTTCGGTTTTTTCGGAACAATACGTATGAAACTACGTATAACGTACGTAAGAAACTCCAATCAAAACAGATTTTGTTTTGTAATAAAGCGTGTATTTTAAATAATTTTAAATAAACACATTGAAATAAGTAAACTTAATAAATAGCAAATATTCTGAGTTTTTTGTTGTTTCGTATTGATTAGTATTATCTTTTAATTGAATTATTAAATTTATTTCGTCTAATTTTACCGCTATATAAAAGCAAAACTTGCAAGGCCCTTGCTGCAAGACCAAAGGTCTTGCTTTGCTCATCACTAATTACGATGTAAGACGTTGGTGTCGTATTTACTGATTTTTGGCAATTCGTCAATTCGTCGTGAATTTGCCTTCGAAATGATATGATTATTCCCTTAGAAAGCTGTAGAGCAAGGAAAACCGCTAAAAATACGGGTTTTCAAGTCGACTAGTTATCTTAAATATACAGCGGCCGATAACCGGCTCCTCGGTATATCATCAGCAAACGAAAATAATTGCAAACAACTACTTTACACTCTGATTGGTTTTTACAAGCAATCGCATGGATAGTTTCAGAGCCGATAAACATCGAATTTCGGATGAATAAATTCGCGCACATTGGAACCTTCAACATCGAACCCGCCTGCATAATGCAGCGATAATTAATTAACACAGCAACCTGGTCCTTCGAGGGAAAAAATCAATCAGGTGCTGCACAACATTAGATTTGCGATTAATAATAACAATAATGGTGGCAATTCAAAAATTCCCCACAAGCGACATCAGACCTTGGGGGGGACTGGACTACCGACCCAAGTCCATATAGGGCAGCCGATTTTTACACGAAATTATCTCACATAAATACACATCGATGGTAATTCGTTTTGATTTTTTTTCAGTTTTGCAATTAAATTGCACATGTTTAGTCCAGAGGGTATCATTATTAACCATAAGTCAAAAGCGACAGCTAAACAGCCTTTCAGATGTTTTGTTTTGTTTCGAATCGCAGTCTTGCAGAATGCATGCGAATAAGAACGTTGAGTTTCGGGAGTTTTGTAATTTCTAACTCAAGGCGTTTTTGGTCACAGTGGGGTTTTCCCAACTTCTCATCCAAATAGACTAGAAAAACACGCGCTTTTCTTAAATTTCAGCATTGTTTCAACTCAAATATTCATCATCTTTGCAGGACAATTGAACATGTAAACGATGAAAATTTCTAGAATATTGAACGGAATGCTGATTTTTGGCCAGATTGTAAATGCTGGTCTCATAAGGAGCGTTTTTTTGCAGGTGTAAGTTTTCTGGTTGTCTTGAGTTGTCTCTCAACATTTTATGATATTTGGTTTTTTGGCAACTGAGAAAATTTTTAATTAATTAAATTAAATTTTGATAAACATTTAATTTAGGTGTTTGTTTTTTAGCCTACTCTTGGTAAAGTTTTCATTCTTTTGCGGGCAATTTCGGGTGGCTCAGACGGAAAAAAATTATACCCACGATGTTGTAGCTTTATGTCCCGTGACTAAACTCGATTTTTAATCATGTCTTATCGTGAAGCATTCGGGAAATATAATTTTTTATGAGCGGTAACATTTTGCACGAAATTCTTCGAAAATGGTATAATCAATTTCGTGTGGAAAATGTGACCGGTCAGAAAAAATTGAATATAGGGCTCACTTGGAAGGTACGAGAAAAATATTGACATTTTTTTTTCGATAACTTCTAGAAGATATTAACAGTTGAAAATCGAATTTCAACTTTGTTATTAAGCATTATTTTGAAATTGTTCCATGTTTAATTGGTAGCATATTGGAA